ACATCAGGCTGCCGGAGCACAGCGAGCAGAGCGCTCAGGCTTTAAGGGAAGGGGATTGCTGACCTCTGCCTCCAGGTCCTGGCAGGGAAGGGGAAAGCACAGCCCCGGACTGGGCAATCAATTCAGCAGCACAGGCTCGGGAGGACAGCGGCTGTGCGGGCGSACTGCACTCGGTACAAGGCTGTCGGCAAGCACGATTATTATTCCCTCTCTCCTGGCAAGCAGCACAGGCCAATATCCTAATTCATGGYGTGCTATTTGCAATTGTTTAGCAGGGCTAGCAAGAATCAAAGCTCCTTCCCCTCAGCCCTACCATGAAAGACAGAGCAGAGGGGAAAGCACACTGTGATTCATTCACTGCAGTNCACTGAAGTAGGTCCCTGGAAATCAGAGTTCATCCACTTCCAGAACAGACTCCATGAATGATGCTAGATGGGGTCACTAAGCTGTTGAGCCTCATTTTCCCACATTGGATTTTTTTTCTCCCCTCTATTTCCAATGGGTGAGGCATTTAATCTTATTTCAGGGAATAAGGAGARAATAAGTAGCACAGTATCATATATGCCAGAATATAGAACGGCAACTGTAGTACTCAACCACTTTGCCCAAACTTAAAAGTTACCTGAAGAGTTTCTAATTTTAGTCAGTTTTACTGATTAAATTGCTCTCTTGAAAGTCACCACGACTGGAAAAAAACCAATGACACAAATTTACTCTGGTCTGAAAAACTGCTTAWAAGTTTCACTGTTGGAATATGGCTATGAAGTGTATCTGGTGAAAAAAAGAAACCAAACAAAAAAAACCCAAATAACAAAAACCCAAATCCAAAACAAAACACATCTCCCAATGAAGTGCCACAGAAAAAAAAAAAAAAAAAAAAAAAAAAAAAAAAAAAAAAAAAAAAAAAAAAAAAAAAAAAAAAAAAGAAAAGCAGAATGTAAAATAAGTAGACCAGCACATAAAAGAGCAAAGCACACAGCTTGGAGCAAGGCTCCGAGGTAGTCTGTTAATATAAGTAGTAGAAGTATATATAAGTAGTTGCCCCAGAAACAGCACTTGCTTATGCTGGATGAATGCCAATAGTAGCACTGTGGTTCTAATATCACTTCAGGGGCTCACTAGCACTGGCACCTGTGAAAAATAAAGACTTCCATTTTTCCTGGCCACATCCTTGAATAACATTTCTTGTCCTCCTGGTTTGTGACATTAACACTGATGTATCATCCCAGGACTGCAAAAGGTCTACTCCAGATTCCACGCAAGGGTAGACTGAACCCCAARACCAGCTTTTGTGTTCACAGCATCATTCTCCAAAACAAACAAAAAACTCCACACAATACCTTTAGGATTTTTATTTCTGAATAGTTTTATTTMTTTTATTAGAAATTACAAAGAAACTCTCTCCAGGAGAGCAAGGGGGAAAAAAAAAAACCACCAACCCTGAAATATGTCCAAGTAATTTTGTTCCATATAAACACAAAGCAAAGTTACGTATTTCTTTCACATGCATGTACAAAAACATTTTAAGTAAAACATCCTTCACACATAACATGTGCATTAGCCTCAGAACTGCACATAATCAGATTGGCCTCACCTACCTTGCCTAATCTTATTTYCCTGTTTTCTTTTTAAATTGTAAATTTCTATGCAGGAAACATCTCTTTTTCTGCACAGCATTACCTATATTCAAATTAGCAAGGATGGCCTTGGAATTAAATCACTAGGTAGCACATTTTGACATAAAGCTGTACACGTAAGTTGTTACACTGCCATTTATACAGCGAACTTCACTGGATACCAGGCACAACTCTTCAAAAGGAATAAAAAGATTGTGCTAGAGGGAAAAAGGARTATGATACACAGTGCTCTCTCAACTACAATCCTGTATGATTCCTATGCAAAASACTTCAAAAGCCAAGTAATTTGCAGATCTTGCTCTCCAAATTGATATCAAGGTTCCTATTAATTTCAATCATGGCAAAATAAATCACTATAAGACATTGATGCTACTGGGTATGGTCAATACTCAATCCTCCGATTTTTCATCCACCCACTTTTGGAAAGAGAAGGGAGAAAGATGAAAGAACTGTAAAAACTGCAGACTGTTGAAGCAGGTGGGTCAGCAGAGCGCTTTACCAGCAATCAGCAAGAAACAGCTACTGCAAGAGCAGAGCATCATTCCAACCCACTGCATAACCTCACTGTGGTTTAAAATTCGGGGATTACATGGTCAATGAACACACCTCACTAGTTGCCCAAGGCTGCATTAACACCTAGCAGAATCTTATTTGAATCATCAAAAGAGCATATTGTCTGTACCTGACTTTGTGAGCTAGATTTTAAATTTCACTATTTCATGCATGATGAACACCACTGTAAATCTAAGAACCATAAATGTTCAGAGGGGAAGGTTCACAGAAGGTAAAGCTCCCACATGTGTAAAAGGAAACATGCACACAAAAGCCAGCTGCAACCCTTAGTGCAGTGGGGGAACAGGAGGTACAGCTATTACTCTGCCTTCATTTTTAAGTGTATGAGCGATGTCGATGGGCTTCTCACCTCTGCATAAATATGCATTCCAAAGAGAATCAATAACACTTCTCCCTTACATTGCAACAACAGAGCTGACTCAAAGGACAGTGAATTTGCACTGCATTTAAATACACTTGAAGCACTCGGGCTTGGCTTGTTGCAGAGTGTGTATTACAGGGTGAAATGGGTGTGGAAAAGGGATGTGAAGTAAAAAATAAAAATCACAATAGTAAGACAAAACATCTGAACATGAACAATACAGAAAAAGCACTAAAGATTAAAACTTAACCAAAGCCCTGGAGAACACTAGATTTTCATATTTAGCCCACTTGAAATCTTGCAAATGAGCAAGCGATGCTGGCAGCAGTCACTCTRTCATTTGGCTCCCGAAAATAGTGCAATGGACTTTGCATAAGTGCCCTGGCTCCAAGTACACTCTACTACACCAGTTTGCAAAGCATCAACAGAGAAAGGCCCAATCGCAGGTGTTCTAACACAGTGTCAAAGACACAAGGGGCATATCAGGCTGAGCCTCAAGGCCCCAGCCTGGCACATTCTATGTGTGGTGGAGAACACTGGATCTGCTGGTTTAGCTGAGATGATCAGCCTGCTCTTAGCCCTATACTATCATTTGAACAGCAAGCTCTAGTAAACGTGCAGAAAAGAAAAAGCACTGGCCCAGCAGGAGGAAGTCTCCTCTAATTCCCACGCAGGAAAGGCATAAGTCACGTCACTTAACTCATACACTGATGGTGTGGATGTGTTGAGCTGAAGTTGTCAASTTGAACACACTTTATTGGGCACACAAAGGAATAACAGACATTTCTAAAAGTGCCATTCATGCAACCTATTTTATACTTCTACCTCAAGGCCAGAAGGACAATGACCTAAGAATGATTATTTCTCTTCAGCTTCAAGTGGGGTCCCAAGAAACAGGCTTAGATGCAGCCATYTACAGATGAATGAGAAGATACCACCCCAAATGCCTTCCTTGTACCTGGGCAGTAGAACAGCAGTTATGCTGTACTTCTTTGGGATCAGCAGTTTTGCTTAAAACCTGTGTCATACAGGACTGTAACATTTTAGTGACCATCTAAGCATTCTCCAGCCAGCAACAGTCCAACTAAAATGGAATAAAAGCTCCCAACTCTCACAAAACTCTCTGAATGATTACTGCACCTTTTTTTTTTTTTTGCAGACTTGCAGAGTAACTAAATCTGAAACACACTTCTAAAAGGCAAATATTACTATTCTTTTTTTACAGCTGAGAAAACAGGGACATTGCAGCTTGGCTAATGGTGACTCAGGGGGAATCAAAATAAAGATTTCCTGGTATGCTCTTCTACTACTGACTAGGCTTAAAACAGTGAGAATTTACCTCCCAGGAGAGACCTTTAAAACTGTGATGCACAATTTTAACTCCATTGTCCATAAAAGCCTGTGGTCACACATTCTCATTTGGACATTGAGGAATTTTATGTTTGGATTCCACTTATATAAAGTGGAAGAAAATACAGTTAGGAAAAAAGAATTAAGGCCAGGCATATTATACAGAAACAAAAATACTGTGCCTGAAGCTCATTCTTTCAAAAGATAAACCTGCAATTGTAAAGATAAATGGGAGGTTTGGTAAATTTCCCTCAAACATCCCAAGGGGTTACAGGTATAAAACCAGTTTAAGTGGCTGTTCATTCTTGATTCATGTTCATTCTAGCTCTTTTGAGAGAGAGACACACTGAATCAAGTTAAAGACCGAGTTGATCAACTGAGGATTGTGCAGAACAAAAAAAAATGCCATCAGTCAGCTGAGCCATAAAAGCAAGCAGCAAAATAGATTCTGCTTCAGACTAAGTTGTCAAGATAACAACCTTGAATATGAAAGCTCAGCCAGCCTGAAGTTGCTGCATTCCATCCAACGACACCAAAGGAAATGTCTGCATTGCCAGTATGGGATCATATCAACAGTAAAAGCTCTTTCAGTCTCTCCAGAAAACCACATGAACTTCCCTGAGTAGATGATCAAGTATTCAACTAGGGAATAAGCTCTGCTGGTCTTGCTCTTAAGAAAGAATTGGTCAAGAATGTAAAGGTCTTGGCTGCAGRAGACATAGAATTGTGGCATTTAAAATCCTGAGAAATGTGTACAAGACAAAATCCTGTACCTTTAGGTCAACATATTTTGGTTTATTCAAGGAATGTCTTAGCAGCATTTCAGGAGGGACTGCCCTGGCTGCCCAAAGGAACCCAAGTGTGCTATGCTAGTGTGTGTGTACCCTATCTTCAAAGACATCTTTCTCAAGGTAAAAAAATCAGTCCTTTCTGACAAGCAGAAATTACAGCAGGCATGACAGAGAGTCAGCACAGATGATCAAGAACTCCTGACTGATCTCAAACACAAACAGAAAGGTACTCAGAAGTGGACGTGAGGATGGGCTGGCCAGCAGAGATGAAGAGACACAGCYCAARTATGCAGGGWYAATTAGGAAAGCCAAAGCTCAGCTGCAGTTGAAACTAGAAATAAATGTGAAGTAGGGCTTCTTRAAGTACACTGGAAGCAAAAGGAAGAAAAACTATTAACATTCTAGAATGTAGGCAATATGTTAACAAAGGATGCTCTTCATACTTTGAGGCTGATATACATGACACCTTTTTTGCTGTTTTCACTGGTAAGTTCTGCCTTAAGGCCTGCCAAGTCCTTGAGCCTTCTAGCAGCATGAAGGAATGAAGCATTGCCTACAGCAGAGGAAGACTGAGTTAGTGAGAACTTAAGCCCATTGAAGCCAACAGGCTGAACGTGAAGGCACKGAGGGAGCTGGCTAATGGCACTGTGAGACCACTCTACAGCATCTTTGCTAGGTCATTATCATCATCAGTGATTGCTCTCCAACTAAAATACCCTGACTTATGACTCTCTTGCTGGCAACAACAGCACTCTGGGAAATTACCACTCTTCTTTATTCAGCGATTGTAAGACCATGTTTTGAGGACTGCATCCACTTTTGTGCTCCCCCTTACAAGGGCACTGCAGCAATTTCAGTGGAAGGTYACAGAGGTGGTTAGGGTGCTGGAGTGCAGGACGATAAAGGACAGCTCAGAGAACATGGTTTCTCCATACTGGAGAAAAGGCTAAACAGAGATCTCATTGTATATAATCACTCAAGAGCTGGGTTAGAGTAGGCATCTCTTCTCAGAGATGAATGACAGAACCAGAGGCAGTGAACACAAGCTGGAACATGTGAAATTCCAACTAGATGCAAATACATTTTTTGTCTTACTGTGAGAGTTGTCAAATATGGGAAAATGTTGCCCAGAGAGATTTGGCATCACCATCTCTGTGGATACTCAATAACTCAAATTAACATAGCCCTTAGCAACCTGCTCTAATTGGCTAAGCTCTGAGCAAGCGGCTGGAGTAGAAACGTCACTAGGTCCCTTTAAACCAAACTATTTAATGGTTCTGTAACTCAGCAAATCTTCTCACAACTACTTTTCACTGGCACGTTCCTCATTAATCTGCCAAAGCAAGCCATGCCACCATCAAACATGAAGGGTGATCTTCAGTCTYATGGATCAGGATGAGGTACAGAAGCCAGCAAAGAGGGAAGCTGAAGTGCACTCCACATCAAACCTCTCATAGTAATTTTATGCAGGTCCCTCACACACCAGGGCCAGCCCTGTGTTGGAATTATCACAGTACTCTCCTATTTTTTTTCAAGTGTCTGTTGCATACCATCAGGACTAAATAAACTGTTCCTTTTCACATCTTCTTCATCTTTTTCTTGCAGCGCTGGTTGAACACGGGTGAGGATCCCATCAAGCTGTCAGCAGAATGAGAACCATAGCTGCTCTCAGAGCCATTGGGACTTTGTGGCATCCCAGCTTCACTCATGCCTGACATCGGTTCCTCAAAGACATCACTGCCTAGRACCCCGTGGCCATGCACATTACCCTCCTCATTTTCCTGTGGCTCCATTTTCACCTGTGCCAAGTTCCAGAGTGGGGACGCATTCACTTCAGCCCCTAGAGAAGGAAAAGGCACGGTAAATAACTGAATAAAAAGATAAATCACAAACAGCACACAGATACAAGGGACAGCAGCAAAGGTAAAGATGGAGCAAAAGCAAAGCCACAGATTAAGCAGGCTGGGGGAAAACAAACAAAACACATCAAGCACTGTGATCATTAAAAAATATCTGTTGACTTATTTAATAGCCAGCAGTTGCCACTTTAAAAAATATGRTGGTATCCCTTCACTGTTAGCCTCTGTGGGATCTTCTCCATGAGAAACAACTTCAYTCTCCAGGAGTATCCCAGAAGCAATGAATACACCAACAGCACAWGGACTAAACCCTGCATAAGCAGGACTTGGAGGCAGTCCAGAAGTCATTATGAGGTCCTTGCAAGTGTCAGACATACTGGGCTTCTGCAGGGGAGGTGAAGGGAGAGGGCAGAGGAGCAGGCAGATGAACAGTCCCAAATACCACTTTCAGCACTGAAATGCAGGGACAGCAGAGCTGCAGTCAGCCACCTGCTGTCTGCCTCCTTGTACTCAACACCCACAGGTCTCATCCCATCCTTCAGCAAAATGGAAAGAAATCCTCTTGGCTCACCCTCACAGACATCCTGCTGGGAAATAGCTCTCTCCCCATTCCTTTTTTTTTTTTTTGTTTATTTCTGGACAAGTGTGCAATCTGAGCACTGATTGAGGATTTTCTGTATAAGATTATGAAACTATATTCCTTTATAAGAGCAAATGTTTTTCTCCCCAAGAGCAGCAATTACAGATTGCATTATTTCTATTTATTTAAAGTTTAAAGAGAGAGAAAAATCCTCTTAAAAATACACTAATTGGTCTCCTTGCTGAGATGGGCATAAACAGCCCAGAACTGAACCAACTGTGAAATCCTCTCTCTCTTTTATAGGGTCAAATTCACATGGAAAATTAAAAAAAAAAAAAATTAAAAACAAAACGAAACTAAAAACCCAACCAACCAACCAAAACCCCAAGAACAAAAACAACAAAAAAAGACCCACTAAAAACAAACAAAATAGGAAGCAATTTCTGGTAAGTTTTCCAAACTTCATGTCTCAATGAGCATGGCTACAGTTTGAAAGCACAACCAAAGCTCTTGCACTGAGCCAAACCCATGACCATTCCCTATTATCAATATACTAGTAAAAATGTTCCAACATGTCTGTGCCAAAAATTCTCCTTTATGAAGAAGTCAGGAATCTTTCCCAGATCAGCTTAGCCCAAAACAAGGTTTACAAGACCTTTATGATAACACAGCTTACATTAGCTCAGTTGCCTTAATGAAAGTCCTTCACWTGTTAATCAGAGGTAAATGCACCCCTCTCAACAACAAAGGACACATCATTAAAATGTTGTCAGTTGCACAGTTAGAGCTCCAGTCTACATAATAATCAAAGGTGCTCACTAAACTAAACTGTGTCTTTCCTTCATCAATTCCTCTTCATCRCTCAGCCTTACTCCTTTCAGATCTGTCACCTGTCACTAAGAGTGTCACTAATGACTAAAAGTACTTAAGCATCAACACAGGATGTTTCATCTTCAAAGCACTTTAACTTCAAAGTACTTTACAAATAAGCTAATCTTCATGTTATCCTGAGAGGCAGAAGAACAAGGAACAATTTTGCCTCCATTTCTCCTACTGCAATGAACGTAAGCAGCCAGCCCACAACTGCAGTGCCAGGTATCCACAGAAACACGGGAAGAACACAGAAGGCTGTAACGAGTGTTTTGCACTCAGACACCGAGGCCTCGCTGCCCTCCCTGCAGGCCTCACACCTGCATTTTGAGATGGCGGTGTCCTAATTGCAGCATCTTTTCTCGCTCCTTAGGATATTACACTCTCCAGCCTGCCCAGGTCTAGACTGGAACTTCTCACAGACGAGATTTCCAAAGGCTCTTGTRAAGTGAAGAGGGATTTTCAGGGAGGAACAGAGCACTTGTATTCTTAATTAGAAAACATCAATTCTGTATCAGAGARGCAAGAGGCATTTCATATACAGCTAGCTTGCTAACCTCTGGGTCTCAAGTGGTAGCTGCTAATACAAAGCTTTCCAGATGAATCACTTACAACCCTGGATGGGCCAGAGGAGTCTGCTGTTCCCTCTCCCACAGAAATGCAAACACTTCACATTTCAGAGGTGCTATGGAAAACAGTATGAGCTTTCAGAAAAACATTAAATGGATTTATGCTTTTTTAAAGCCCATCACAATGCAAAAAAACTAATGGACTCAGAGGACTCTAACCTCACTATATATGCTGCTTAGCTTAGGGTTAATAGGAGGGCAGGCTTCATTTTTTTTTAACCAGATTTTTAAGTGAAAAAGTTATTATTGCAGGGATTTCCAGAGTTCAGAAGTTTCTATACAAACTCAAAACTGCCTCTTTTTCATTCCAGGAAGTTCAGATTCATTTTCCAGGAAGTTCAGCTTCACTAAACAGTGAAGAGAACAATMTATGTAAATATGGAGAAGGCACAGACACAGCAGATTCTCCCATGCTCACCACCAGTGTGCTTAAATACCAACATCAAGGGATGGCACATTGAGGAAAAGAGTGCCATCTCTGTAACCCCACTAATTCATTGATCATTTCACTTCCCATGGCCTCAGCCAAGTACAGCAGGGTTTGGGGTATAGTGTTAGGAGGGATTCCCAGGAGCCCATTTCTCATGTCATTGATAAGCTTCCRTAAAACAGTGACTGTCATTACCAGGGTAACTTCTGAATATGGAGGACAGTACCAAGTACCATTTGCATTTCCAGAATTTATTCAGTGGCTAAACTATATAAGAGACATGGCTTCCCCCTAACTTTGCAAGACTATAAATCTCTCAACATAAATCCAAAACTAACCAGGGAAAACAAGATCAAATTGAACTGCTGAAGGACTGTTTCCACGAGTAGCAAGAAACCCCTACCTGAAGTCTGTGGGGAAGCTTCTACTTCCAAGTTGGCAGAGAAGCGCTCACTTTGAGCTCCAAGAACTCCAACAGGCAAAGACTGGTCACCAGAAGCCAGATCTCCTTCCAGCTCCTCACTTATAGGGAAAGTAATATCACTAACAGGTTCCTCCTTAATCTTCACAGGTTTTGTGTCTTCTGCTGCCTTTTCAGGGTTGACAATCTTCTCATACTCTTCAGAGAGCTGCTTGCTAACCTGTCAAAGATCAGTGGGTGAAAAAGAGGTCGGAAAGGTGAGAGTGACTTCAGAGACTTTGATGCCAATTACATTGCAGTGCACTCYGTTCCCTGAACATTATTAACATCTGACCTGAACGAACAAATAAACAGCTTACCAGCTACACAAGAGAGATTTTTTTCCCTTTTATGTGCACTTTCTATCCTGTAACAAGGGACTTTAATAAGAGGTTTAATCCACTAACATCTGACTGATAAATATGAGCATCTTTATTTTAYAAAGATGATGAGGCTCAGAAATTTAAACAGAGTACAAAACAAARGCAAAGTGTCTCAGTCTTACTCTTCGATTTTACCTATAAGAYTGTCCCCATCTCTTTTGGTTTTACCCATAAGACTGTCCCCATCCTACAGTAACTAACTCACTCCAGCATTAAAAAACCAAAACCCACACCTTCAACAGCTCTGTAGTCACCACTGGGCAAAGTATTCCTTTGTTAATCAGCCAAATATCCCACTAAAGCAGAAAAATTAGTTAATCGGTCAGTTCTGATTTTATCTCTACTTGATAATTTTGTATGGGTAATTCAAGAGCTGGGGGACTCTTCTTAAACTCAGGCAAGCCACCAGTAGGAACATCCATATTCTCAGTAGGGACACAAATAGGGGGCTCTATGTTCCGGTCAAGAAGCTGCTGTTCTATTTTCCTTGATGACTTCTCTCCACATCCAGGAGGTTTTCCAGTTAGCTTTCCCCTCAGAAAGGTTCAGGACTCGCCACAGGAATAAGCAATTGTACTGAGGGTACATTTCTTGGCRCCACCAGGTCCCCAATGCCCTTCTCACCTGAAGCATGTAGCTGTGGTAATCCTTAATGCGGTGCTGCCAGAAYTTCTGCAGTGAAAGCACGCTACCAATGCCCACTTCATGGAAGACCTGCTCCATGACGTCAGGGAAAGGGGTGTGCCCGAGCCGAGCTTCTCGATCCACGGCAAAGCGCAGCAGCTTGGTGAACTTGAGGCAGTACTCATGGGCGATGTCTGTCAGAGTCTCCAGGACACTCTCGTTGGCACACTCAAAGCCYGTGTGTGCCAGGATGGTGGCCATTGACTGGTACAGAAGCTGCCGGCARGAGGACCAACTCAGCTCTGTCACTGGCTCCCCTTTTCCTCTAAAAAACAGAAAAGGCAAAAATAGCACACTTTCAAAAAWTTTAAGGAGTGCATCAGTTGAAGAGGTACTGTCAATAATAAGGTGGTGTACAAAGGGAAAGCAGAGGGTTCGGGGCTCTCCACAGGCTCTCTGTTACATATGAGCACTACCAAACTTGGGTTCTTCCCCTCCTTCCAAATCAGTACTCCAATTTTCATTTTCCCTTCTAATGCCACAAGATTCTTTGGGTGATTCATGAATGTGGGATGCAAATCTTCTGAACCCTTAAGCATCTCCCTTCCCACCCAAGAGCTTTTCTCCTGGAGACACTAATTAAATGGGTCCTTGACACAAACAAAAAAAGATATTTTAAATCACATGAATGCAAATCATTTCTCTTCTCAGTTAATTATATTGCTCTTCCTTATGATCTCTGATGTCACAAGCCTAATAGTCAGATACAAAGGCTTCTGGGATAGACAAGATTGGAATTTCTAAAGCAAAAGAYTTATATAAAAAAGCAAGAAATGAGATATACACACATTTTATAGAATTACGCAGTAGCCAAAAAGACTTTCTCCACCCTCATTTCCAGTTGCCACTACACATGACACTGAAAAAAGTATCCCCATATGCAACCTCAGATGTGAACAACAGGYCCTGGGAGGAGGCCTGGGGAGGTTCTGCCATAAGACAGCATTCCCTTGCCTTGGGTTTTCTTCCACAAAGCAGCATTCTGTGGCCTTGGGTTTGAGACCTCTCTCTGTTGCTAAGCAAAAAGGAGTGACCACAAAGGATGGAGGAGATGGAGAACAACTCACATGAACACTTCAAGCATCATTTACTTCTAGTCAGCCAACCAAATTTTTCATCAACACAAGTTAACAAATAGAAATTCCACAGAGGAAATGGAGGAGTTAAGGCAAGGCTTCTCATAGGGAAACATACAGTTACCAGATTTTTCAACTCACAATTAAGTGCATGTAACCTATTTGCTCGTATCAGTAACACAGACTTCAACTGCTGATGTCAAAAAATCAAATTCCATTACTTCTAAGTATGGTGTTTATGTATTTTTTTACACTCCATTCAGCAGCAAGGGCAGAATTCRGCTAACAATTTCACTCTTCATTTGTTTCTGATCAATTTCTGCCAACATCTTCCATATCCCACCTAGATTATCTGCGTATTACCACACACTCTTTCTGGTAACAGGACCTGATTAAACAGTACACAGACAGTATTGATGCCTTGATAAAATTCTCACTGTTCTCTCTCTCCAACAAGAGCAGGAGGTACCCTTCAGTCTCACTGAGAAGCTGGGACACAGAGCCTCAGCTTATCCAGGACTAACACAGAACACCATTGATACATAGCAGTAAAASAGTGAAGAGGAGTGAAAAGCAAGGTGAAACTTACAACTATCAGGATGAAAACAATTCATTTTTAAGAACACCAGCTCAACATTTTCTGATTATTCAAATAAAGAGGGAATCACACTATATTAAGAGAGGCATAGGATCATATTTCTAAGTAGACATTAAGAACAGCATGTGAATCTCAGGTCATGGATTAATTCCAGTTATTAATTGATGGAAAATGTCGCATCCCAATTTCTACTCAATTATGTAACTACTTTGCAAAGAAGACAGCAGGCACCCTGACAAGATGAATTAAAAGATCATCAGTTTCTTTATAAACCAAGTGTCATCCATACTATTTTTACATCTCACTCACTCCCCCCTCCACCTCAGCAGCAGAATTCTGAAGTTTACAGCCATATGTCTCACACAACACCAGGACAAAGAGATTACAACAGAAAAACACAAGCATCAAAGAAAAACAACCACAAAACCATCCTCAAAATTCATGTCTGTAAAAAAGAATCTCTTCTTTTTTAGCACATATAAAGGACATATCTAGCTGTCCAACAGCCAACAGTTGAGAGCACCTTAGGCTACCAAAACTGAACACCAGGCTACTATTAATACCGACACATTCACTCAAAAGACTATGGGCAAACTTAAATGAGACACAGATTTCAGCAATCCCAAGCAGGATACTTAGTCACTCAYAAAGCAGAGTACAACAACAATTTAGCAATGCATACCACTGCTCAGAAGCAGCAGAGAATATTGTGTCTCTTTTAAAATCCTAGAGGAAAAGAAACTAATTGTGAGCATTAAAATGCAGCTAGGTCACTATGCTAGAAGGCATATAATCAACTTGAAATCTAATCAATTAAAGACAGAGAGAAAACATATTTCAGGTACTGTACTCAAACCCAAATCTCTACCTCTTGCTCTTGGTAAGGCAAATCAATTTTGCTTGGTTTTTCTCATGTTTTCTGTTTCTCACAATAAACAATAGAGAAATATGATTACAAGCCAGAACAGAGAGCAAAAACTGAAATGTTGTTGTAKATGTTAATGGAAACGAACAAACGAGACAATAATTTTTCCTTATCTTCTTTAACTTCCGGGTACTCTCTGGTAAGAATGTACATGCACAACAACAGTCATATTGACAGATTTATGTTGAGAGCAGCTATCTAATGTCAAGCCTTCCCAAAAAGGACAAGCAAACTTCATTTCCCTAATGATCATGGCTGAAGAGCCTTTGTCTCGGATCTCATCCAGATATACAGCACCTACAAAAGCACCCTTCCAGGTATTATCATTATGTGGAATGCTCCCCTCTGCAGCACTTAGTTCTCTTCCTGAAAGGCTCTTCATCCAGCAACCATCAAAAGCCAAACCTACGAAATATATTAGTGGGGTCATATATCTACAAGTAAACATGAGTGCTTTAATCCCTAAAGTTCTGTCACCAGAGATTAACAGGGCAGGGAATTAGGCCTGTGACTTGGAGGCAATCTCCTCTACAGAATGTATAGCATGAAATTTATCACAAATACTGGCCAAATTGCTGTTCTTCAATTCTGAATTTCTAACAGCCTGCTATACATTTATATATGGGTCACTACCACTAGATGATGCTCCAGAGAGAAATCTACCTGCCAAATTCATAAGACCAAAGACCAGCCTTCTCCCACCATTACCAAAACATACAGAACTTCACAAGAGAAGACATGAAAATAATGTCAATTTACTTCAACCAGACTTATTTCCTGATTTAGTATATTTTCAGAACTCACAAACGGCCCATTTCTGTGTCAGTCAGTTAAATGCCAACAAACCACCCCACGAAAGCAGCACAATCCATTCCCTCAGGCTCCTCTCCTGTAAGGCTGTTTTTCTTAGAGGGAAGAGGAGATTGTAACTGTCTTCAGGGGACAGTATCTGGACTAAGAACAAGGAACGGCAGCCAAGGTTCAATCAACTGCAGGAATGGATTGAATTGCTCTGCTCCCTCCTAGGTAAGCATAAGCCAGCAGCAGATGGAGGGAGGGACTGTTTTTCCTATGAACAGGACAATTTGATGAAACATTATGCTGCGAAGTTGACTTTCTACCAAATGAGGTGCAACAAAGCTGCTTTATAGCCATTTTCCTAAAGCAGTAAAATAAAGAAGAACACTGGAGAAACAAGATTACACCTGTCAGAGAATGCACCAAAGAACACAGCACACTAACTCAAATCAGAAAGTTSTTTTCTTTCAGGTAAGAGTCCCTTCACACCCCATCCTGGGTAAGTCTCCTTTTAAATACCTCTGTTATGTCTACAGAAGACTGCACAGGTATGAAGCAAAACTGCTCAACAGATAATGTCAAAAATAAATTGGGTCCCAGTGGTATAACCCAGATAGGTCAGTTTAGAAACAGCCTACACCAAAGTGGTTAGTTCATCACAGGAAGTGTGTTTTGCCCACTTTAATTACCACTGCTCCTCATCCTTCCTAACACTAAAACTGCTATCCCACTAACACACGCTCCTTTACTTCTGTACAGACATTTCTTCACTACAAAACCTTCTGCCAAGAACTGTCCTCTCATTGCAAGCTCCCAATTTTGTTTACAGATTACCTTTCAATGCAATCCAATGTGGTCAGGAATGCAAATGACAGAATGACTGAGAAATCTGTTAAGCAATCAACCATGCACACACAAGAAGAGGCACGTGAGTAGGTCAGGCTTCTTTTGAAGACAGATTCATGATAATCTGAGGAAGCCGATCAGAGAAGATGGAAAAATTARCAGCTGTATTATCACAAGAGTCTCCTGCCAAAATGGCAGTTTCAAGTCCACAGTTCCTTACTCATTCTTCATCAAYTACGCTTTAAGCTTATTTTCTATTTCTACACCAACTAAAACCAAATGTTAATCCCTTATTGTGCATTCCAAGAATTGGAAAATCAAGAGCTAGAAATCACCAGGACCAGATGGTAATTCATCCAGGAATACTAAAGAATTCAAGGATGAAATAGCTGAATARCTCTGGTGAGTCACCTCTTGCTTTAAACTACTTTGGCCCATGAGGACCAGAAGACAGAAACTGTAAAAACATTTTCTTTAAATAGCTTCAGAAGAGATGTGAAAAACTGCAGGCTGGGAAGCCTGATATATTTTGGTGCATTGGGGAAATTCAAAGAGCTAGAGGATACACAAGTAAATATGTTATGCTCAAAATGTATCCAGAGAGCTTTTTTTAACTGTAAAACCTGCTTCACAAACCTACCAGAATCCTCCAAATCTATCAACAAGCAAGTATGTCAGAGATCTCCACTGTGGAGTCCAGGTCTTCCCTCCCCCTGATCTGTGCCAGAATCAATGTATTTTTTATCATGTTTGTTTCAACATACTTATAAATAGTTTGGAAAACTGTAAAAGAAGATTAGTGTAGTGATTATAAAATCATTGTTAGTACAGACTTTGGGGGATTGAAAAGACCAAACCAATTCAAAAATAGCTGCAAATTAGGCTCTGCTTCTTCCTCATCATGTAAGGAGGTGGGGGTTACATRTATGGAACAGGGTAGAGGAAAACCAAAATGAATCCAGGGGATAACAAAATAAAAGACAAGGGGACAGTGTGTCAAAGAATGAAAGTGAATAACAAGGAAATAGAAGAGGACATGCCTATATTAACCAAACCTCTAATCTAATTCAGACTAATTACTCTTAGCTTCCGTTATTCCTGTGTCTAAATGTACCTATACACTGCTTCTCAGACCCAGGCCACTGACAAAAAGAATGAAATTAAAATATGGATTTAGTTGAAAACCATAATTCTGACAACAGACAGAAGGCAGCACAGAATTAAGCACTACCGTGTTTTATCAGCGGGAAGAATGCTCTTCCTTTAATTTGATTTTACACACTAAGAAGCATCAGCAAATCATAGAACTTCAGTTYTGCTACTAGAACAGCTGCTCTTCTTAATTCATGTGTCTTAAAACAGTTAAGAACAAACATGCAATAACAAACTCAAAGCCCTCCTCCTGAAAAAGCATAAATGTGTTTGGGTTGGTAAGCACACAATTAAATTCCAGAATACACTGCAGCTGATTATAAATCCACTCTCAGCCACAAAACATTTCATTTCAAAACTGTCTCTCCAGTTTTCACAACGTAGTCCTTACACTCCCCCACGTGGCTGACCACCAAATAACATTTCTTTACCCAGACCCCAGAAACTCAGAAGGAACAACAGAAAACAAAGCATGGCCAGAGCTATAGGAAACTTAACTTCCAGCTGAAGTCACTGAGGACTGAACAGAACACTTCTCAGTTGCACAAACCACAGGGCCACAGTGCAAGAGTCACAGACCTGACTTTCCTGTGACACGATGGTATTCCCGTCACCCCTCTCTGCCAATTACTTTGTATCTTCCAAGAAGGATGATGGTGTTCCTCCAAAATAGAACTAGAGAATCACTCTACGGTTTAGAGACTCTGTTACCAACTGCAACATCTTCCAATAAAATCATTTTTTACCACCTAAGGCCATTAAAGATCTCCGTGGCATTTAACTGATACATTATATTCCATTGCGGCACATTTACCCATTTTAAAAACTAAAATGTGTCAACCTCTCCCTCAAAAAGTCCCTTAGTGCACACATCAGCAAGGATTAATTCCTTAATTTAAACACACATAACCTACACAGTATTGTGAGATCCTGCAAGAAATGCAACACCTCCTTGTGAATTTTGTGCCTGTCAGAGGGATACATAGGCGGTGGTGGCAATACTATTTAAGCAAAGGCTGGCAGCAGAGGTAGAAGCTACACAAATTTTCTTCACATTTTCTCCAGCCCTTGGCTGGTGGAGCCAGTAGCAGAGACAATTCCCTTCACCCGTACTCATTTCCAGCTCTGACAGGAAGACCACCAAACTGGGTGGAACGTGATAGTCACTGTATTACAGGTCCTTGGCCTGCAATCTTACAAACATGTCATCAAATCAACTTTTCAGAACCTACAGCTGAACAGCCAAAACCTAGTCACGTGTCTTCTGGRTTTTCAATTACAGTAACACTTGAGTGTAAGTGACCTAAATAGAAGGGACTTCACATTGTGTAACTAAAACTGTCAAAACACCACTAAAAACCCATTCACACATATTTAGCGTAGTACTGACAAGACARAAATCAGCACTACACAACCACATTTTACAGATAGGAAGCAAAAGCACATTAATTTTAAACAACGTGTATGTCATTCACACAGGAAGAAGCAAAGTATTTCCTTTCTAAAGCCAGCTTTATACTTAATATACAACTGTCTGACCCTTCATATAACTACATATATATTTTAAAACATTCAGCTTTCCTAGTGAAGAACTAACCTAAAGAAATACTAACACACCTGTAGAAATCACTCTCTGGGTCACTGTGCCTCAGCTGAAATGGCATTTTGGGGGTTTTGCTATCCAGAGGAAGCAGGTCATCGGGGAGAGGTGGAGAGGCGGGACAAGATGGCAGAGGTTCATTCTCTTCAGTTTTTATGCCCTCTGCTTGCTGCTGGTTTTGAGCCTGAGCGGCGGCGATGAGGCTGCGCAGGCGCCGGTTGTGCTGGATGAGCTGGATGGTGTGAATGGTGAGGCTGCAGGGCTCGGAGGGGATGTCCAGCATGGTGGTCGGACGGGGTTTGTTCGCAGACGGCTGGTGCAGGGGAGGGTCCTGCACTTCCACAGTACGAAACTCACGCTGCAGCAGGTCAAAGGAGCTGCGGTTGGCCTGGTTGGAGGAAACCGGGATTTCGCCCCAGTATCGCAGCATTTTCACATGGGTCACCTGTCGCGCTCAGAGCCCAGAAGGCCACCAAGTACTGTGGGTACAAAGGACCCTTGGTGCAGGGAAAAGCACTCTGGGCAGGAACAGCCTGGAGCTGGGATGACGCTCTGACCCACCCAGGTTAGGGCTRCCAAGCAGGCTGTCGCTCAGTGCCTCGCTCAGCAGCGCAGTGTCCTCGACGGCATCAGGTCGCCACTCTGGCATTTAACAGATTGCATCGCAGCTTTTCCTGAGGGGAGAGGGGGCAGAAACAAACGTGAGACATAAATTGTTTCTGTGTGCAACAAGGGCTAGCGCGGGCCCATCATGGCCTCGCTGAGAGGGGCCGGCGGCGTGCATAAATTCCCGGGGCCGCCCTCGATTCGCCTGTCACGCACCCTCGTTCCCTCCCCACCCCATGCCCCGCACCCCAGGCCATTGCTCGCCCACCCCCGCGTACCCCTCGCTGCGCTCCCCTCCCGGCCGCCCAGCCGGAACTGCGTCCTGGTCCGCCACCGGCAGCGGCTCCCCCGCCACCCGCGTTCCTTCAACCCGGAGCAGTGGAGCGCCCGCCGCCGCCACTGCCGTCGCCGCTGCAGTCTCCTCTCCTGCCGCCGCCGCCCTCCCTGACTCGGCCCTCACGCTGCCCCGGGTCGCGCTGGGCGGCGATGGCGCGACCCCCGGAGCTGCGCGCTACCYCCGGCACTGCAGCGCCGCGGCGCTCGTCCCCGGAGGACTCCGTTTGGGGACGGACCCGGGAAGATGGCGGATGCCGCGGAGGCCGAGCCCGCCGAGCCCGCCGCCTTCAAGCGCCCGAGCCGCCCGCTACCCGCGGCCCCCGGACCCGGCGACCCGGGGCACGGCCCTCCGGGACCCCCCCGCGCTGCCACCGCCGCGCCGCCCGCGCCGCGCTACGAGGAGCCACCGTGGGGCAGCCGCCCGCCCGCCGGCTCCGGGTACGGGCTGGAGGTGCTGAAGGGCGGCGTGGTGCTGGGCTCGGTGCGGCTGGAGGACGGCAGCTGGTTCCTGGTGGGGCGGCTGCCCGGCTGCGCCCTGTCCCTGGAGCACCCCTCGGTGTCGCGGCACCACGCCGTGCTGCAGTACCGCGGCGCCGGCTGCTCCCCCGACGAGCCCGGCGGCGCCGATGCAGCCGGCTTCTACGTGTACGACCTGGGCAGCACCCACGGCACCTTCCTCAACAAGGCGCGGGTGCCGCCCCGCACCTACTGCCGGGTGCGGGTGGGCCACGGGCTGCGCTTCGGCGGCAGCTCCCGCCTCTTCCTCCTGCAGGTGAGTCGGGGCTCGGGCTCGGGCGGCTCCGGAGCGTGTGCGGGAGTGGTAAAGGCTGGCCCGGATCGGCTGCAGGGGTTTGCCCGTCTCCWTCGGGTGACTGCCCGAGGTGTAAGGCGGTTTGGAAGCAGCCCAGCGCTGCCGTGGTCGTTTTACTGGGGGAAAAGATGTGGGTATCTGCTGCCGGCTCTGCAATGAGGTTTGGGGCTGGAGGATGGACTGGGGCTGCGGGCTTCTGCTGATGTGCAGTGAGGGGAAAAGGCATTTCTCTCCAACAGCGTGATGCGTTAGGAATGTCTTTCCAACAGTATGATGCCCCAGTAAAGAACTAATACTTGTTTGTGAACGAGCGTGGGTTTATTAGTAGGAACTTTGACAGCACATTTGTATGCTGTACATGCACTTCAGAAGCTGCTCATTTCTCAATTCACCCATTTAGTTCTGACGGGAATTTTTGCCTTCTGCCTTTAAATTACAGTTATAGATGAGATGGATCTGAATACAGTTTACACAGTAATGCTTATTTCTGCCTGCCCTGCTTTGGAAAATACCATTAAAACTAATATATTTTGGAAAGCAAACCATAACTAATGGTCTAATAATTCCACTTTTTGAAGAGCAGTATAATGATATGTTTATGTTGTTAGGCCTAATCTGCATGTGTTGGAAATACTTGTGTGGGTTTTTTTAAAAGCGCTTCTGCTTGTTTTCTGTGTGGACTTAGGGACCCAAAGAGGACCAGGAGTCCGAGTCAGAACTAACTGTGACTGAACTGAAAGCACTGCGCAAGCAGCAGCAAGCAAAATTAGAAAAGACCATGTTGGGAGAGGACTCTGATGAGGAAGATGAAAAAGAGGAGAGAAGTGAAAGGARTCAGAATAGTGATATGACCTGCTCRTGGGGAATGGGTAAGTGATGATGTATGGATTGACTGAGATGTTGAAGATGTGGAAACCAGTTTTCACTGAATATTAGSGTTGATATTCCAGCTGGCTGCCAAGAATCACAATCCAGTCAAARTTTTTGAGTACAAATTAATCCTTTTTCTGTTAAAAGGAAGAGTAGGCAAACCGGAGCCCCTTTTAAACAGGGGAAGGTATTTTGCTTATGCCTATAAAAGGTCATGAAACTGAGAATTTAAGTTGATGCTGTTTGGTTTATTCATGTGATGATGTCCACACTTTTGTTCAAAAGGCAAAATGTAACTGCTTGAGACTTCTATGCAGTATAGCTATCTTTACATTTTAACAGAAAGYCTGCATATTAAAGCTAGATAAATTATAAGGCTTTCTGGAACAAAGTGAGTTGGGTTTTTGAATGAAAACATATAAGCACATAAACCTTTGAAAGTACTGAAACTGACTTGCATCTGCAAAGCTGTGTCATATGTCAGAATAGCTCATAGCAAAAAAAGAATGATTCTTTTTGATTGGGTACAGAAATAATAAAGTTAAGGGAAGTAATTTTAGTAATTTTATGGCATAGCTGCCACTTCTTTCAAACTAAGTTGAAATATACTGGTGCTCTCTTTGTAACGTTTTTCTTTAAAACATTTTTTTGCACTTTGTATGTCTTCTAGGTGAGGATGCTGAGGAGGATGAGGTTGAAGAAAACCCTATTGCTGTTGATTTTCAGGATGTTCAAGATGCCTTTTATATGAAAGATCCTAGGAAGGCTTTACAGGGCTTTTTTGATAGAGAAGGTGATTTTTTTCTAATTAAATGTAATTCTTTTCTACTTAGCAAAGTGTTATTTTGTTGTTTATTTTTTGCAGGGGGATTTAGGGTGTGATGTGACAGCAAACCTTTTCTGTTACATTGTGGGTAATGTTTTTTGTTCAATCGAATGTTGGTGAGTGTTGATGGTGGTTTGGTTTGGGTTTTTTTTATTAAAACTTGGCTCACCATTTAATATTGAGACTTAGTTGCTAATTCCTAAACTGGGAGTTGCAGTGAGCACCTTGTATTCCTGAGTGACACTCAAACTTCACCSATGCTTTGAAGCTATGCTGAAGAAYCAAAACTCATCAATTTCCAGACTATTGGCTTTGGAGATGTCTGTATTTGTATGTAATTGTAAAATGGGAAAGTATAAAAAAGACAAAAGGCAATAATYAAATGATCTAACATTTCAGTGGTTGTTAGTGAAATGTAACGAATATTCACTTATTTGCTGAAAAAATCAGTCTTCAAGATGGACAATACCTGCAAATTCAAATTGCAAACTGTTGTTGCCTCAGAGTCCTTTATTTAATATGTACAGAGACAAGACTGGATTCTTTCTTTGAGCTACATATTCCTCAACAGGCCACTTAGAGGTTTTTTATCTGAAAAAGCCTGGGTTTTGGGAAAAAAAAACTACATGAGCATAATACCAACTGAAGATCCTATGGCTTTAAAAAAGAACAAGTAAGGCAAAATCAGTCCTTTGATATGTAACAAGAGCATTTTWTCTCTTTTGTTTAGCTATGACGTTCTTTTCTGCTGTAAAGATTCTTCCTGCTTATTTCAGTTTTGGTTACTACATCACTTTCTTTTCTAGGAGAAGAGTTAGAATATGAATATGATGATCGTGGGCACAATAGCTGGCTGTGCAGGATCAAGTAAGTATGTCTCCATTCTTTTGGTACATGGAAGTTGACTTTGCTGAATTTGCAAACCAAAGCTGAAGAAATTACTTGTGTCACACTTGGCAARGAAACCAGCTAGATTTTGACTGATATCCTAATACTGAGAAAAGTCAAGGATCATTGTCTTGTTTAGTGTTCTGGAAGGACTTGGTTTTCCTAGTGGATGAAAATCGGGAAAGCAAGAGTTTAGGTTCTTTCAGCTACCCTTGTTTTGCGATATATGTGAAATTGAAATACAAGAGAAGAAACTAGGAAACAATCTCTTTCAATTCCTAATGGGAAAGATAAAAAAACCCCCCCAACCTTGATTCCACTGTGTGCACAATTTGAGTTCCTGTATGGTATAAGGCAGTTTTTCATGGGTTCCTGCCAGAGGCCACTAATGTCATTCTTTCATAAGATAGGAGAAGGTGAGGTGGAAATTAAGTCAACAAGATAAATCTCAACATGACAATGATTGTGCTGCTTAAAAATCCTTTGTTTCAGCCTGGAAACTATTTGTTACTGATGTTATATGAATACCAGATACCCGTACTTTAAATGATTCAGGATTTCACATTTAACCTTTTAACTTCCTGTATTTGCAGGAATAGAGGAAATAAATAGAGGAAAAATTAGTGTTTGGACTAGTGAAATACAAATTACCTCACATGATTTAGGATATCACGCTTGAGYTTTGATTGGTTCTGTATCAAATGARAAGTGRAAATATTTAAACCACAAAAGAAGATTAAAATTAACTGGGAAGAACAATGGCTTTGTAAAATATCTGAGTAGCATTCCTGAAAAGCTGTTTGTGTCTGAGTGTTCTCTGATCCCTYAAACTGAACAGGTTGCCTGTGGATGATGCATCAGGAAAGCAGCTGGTGGCAGAGGTTCTCCATTCAGGAAAGAAAAAGGAAGCAATGATACAGTGTGCACTGGAAGCTTGCAGGCTGCTCGATGCTCGAGGAGTACTGAGGCAAGAAGCAGGTGAATAACTGTGATCATTCTAAAACCCCTAAATTAGGGATTGGACATGGTTATCTTGAATTTACTTTATTGCTGATTGGTATGCAAATAATTTTATTTCTTGCCTTCACCCTTACCTTTCTCAGTATCTCGAAAAAGGAGATCAAAGAACTGGGAAGATGAGGAYTTTTATGACAGTGATGATGACACCTTCCTTGATCGAACTGGCGCTGTGGAGAAGAAACGACTGAACAGAATGAAGAAAGCTGGTAAAATCGAAGAAAAACCAGAGACTTATGACTCCCTGGTAAGAAGAATTATGACATGAGGGTATTATAACTAAGAAGAAATCTTAATGGATCATGGCAGTGGGTGAATGAAATGCCAGAACAGGATACTTTTAAATTAGTTTTAAAGCATTGGGAAGTAATTCCAGGCTTTAAAGTCCACAGGATGCATCCCAAAGAAATATCTCATTGTGCTTSAAAGAATAAGAATCCTGGATTGACAGGCATATGACAGCTATAAGTCCTACAAAGACAGTAGGATGTGAGGGATAGGATGGGTTGGAGGGTACAGTGGTRGTGTAAAACTGCTGCAGAAAAATTATACATACTTTTCCCGTTTCAGAAACTGTTTAGATAATTTTCTATGTCAAGGAATGAGTAAATTGTTTAGGAGCAATCTAGACTTCTAAGCCTAGGAAGTTTTGGTCAAAGATCAGAAATAAAGAAATGGAAGTAATTTCATATGGTATTTGAGTAACTGTCAAAATGAGATTTTAAGATAAAATCTAAGCATGTTGTCCTCTCATAGGTCACGAAGCTAAAAGAAGCAGAAAATGAGCTTTCTGAGATAACAGAGAAGCTGAAGGCTTCAGGGAAAGGTAAGGCATGAAGTTTATTTGA